TTTCAACAAGAAATGAGTATTCCATTGGGTTGGAGTGGCTATTTGTTCAAAATCTTCTAAAGCTTTATATTCTTCCATTTGAGCTTTAGCTAATTGTATTCGAGTTTGAGCCATCTTTTTAACATGTTGAGTACAAAAATATATATATTCTAATATATATTTTTCAATACGTTCAACTGATTCACGTATATAATTTTTAGTAGTTGCTGTAGTTGTTGGAGCAGCTCCTGCAGTTCCTGTAGTTCCAGTATCCAATTCATCATCTGTATCTGTACCTACATTTCCTGCAGTTGTTGTTTGACGTGCTCTATCAACTGATAATTGTCTGGCTACTAAATTAGCTGTTATTTGAGCTAATCTTTGATTTGTAGTTTCAGAAATAGTTTGCATCCAATACGTAGATAATTGAATTTGTAATTCTGAAATAGTAGCACATGCTTCAGCAATAACAGTTATTAATCGATTTATTTTCTTTTGAACAAATCGAGTATTAATAACATTATCTCGTCTTTTTGTACGTCGAACAATTTCTTTAGCCCAATGTTTTTGTTCAGTACCCATTTTTAAATAAGTTTGCCAAACATGTAACTCATAATTATTTCTAACCCATTCATCATAAATTAAAGTTGAAGGTAATACATAAGCTTGATTACCACGACCACTTATAGCATTTTTTGAACTTCTTGAATGTTCTTCTAACCATTTTAATATACGCTTTGATTCAAGATATCGACGAAGTTTTTTCTTATTCTTATCTTTTCTTTGTTTCTTATTAGTATTTAACGATATCTGCTCATCTTTCACTTCTACTTCCACATCAGATACATTATCATTTTCATTGTCATCAGCTAATACAGCAAATCGATTATTACGACGTTGTCGACGTCCAAATGAAGACGTAGTTTTACGTTGTCGTTGATTTCCTTGTTGCTGTTGTTGCTGCTGATTTCGATTATTTTCAGTAACTGTGAAAGGTTGAGTCGTATTTCTTTGAACAAATCTTCCACGCTGTGGTAGTGCATTTGATGGAACATCCGTAGTTGTTGTTGTAGCGATATTAAATTCCGGTGGAAGATTTGGTGAAGGTTCACGTAATTCAGTTGGCATAAGATCATTTAAACGAATTGTTCGTGGACCTCGTCTTCTTGGACGATTACTAAATCGACGCCGACTAGAAGATCTAACCGGTTGAATTGGTCTTAATTGTTGTTGTTGTCGCTGACCTATGAAACCATATCCACCTATATCATTTGGAATAAAATATTGTCGTGGTATCCGATAATTCCGATTATAAAAGATATTTCGACGATAATAATTTGGAGGATAACGTCGATAATTAAATATATTGCCTTGATTTTGACGATAATATTGATTACCTCTATTCGGATAATAAAATTGATTACCCTCTGTATAATATTTATTATTGTTGTTGCGCCCTAAATAATTATTGTTGCACCCTACATAATCATTATTGCGCCCTACATAATCATTATTGCGCCCTATATAATCATTGTTGCGCCCTAAAACACCACCACGACGACGTATATTTCTTATGAGACGTGGTGGTGCATTGGGATCTTGTAACGGTATTTGATTATTATTGTTATTATCGTAATTAATGGACGACATATATCGTTGAATAAGTTGAGAGATAAGTGGATCAAATTAGAATAATAGTATTCTAATAATTTGATGCCTGATATAATTTAATGTACGTAAATCAAATAGAAACAGATCAATCTATATCTCTCAGATACAAATCAATCTGCTAGTCTCAACTTTTGCTTTTCAGCAACCCATGTAGTCGTAATTAATTTGTCAAATTGAATATTCGTGCTTTATGAAATAATAAAAAGAGAATGCAGAATTTAATTTCGCCGACGCGTTTCGTATCTTTTAAAAGATAGTACTCTTCAGGGCTTCGGATTGAGATATATATATATCTACAAGAGAAAGTAAATTTTAAATATCAACTTATATGAAAGAAGATTAAAGTAGTTTGAGTAACTTTTACTTTTTAGTGAACAATGTTCATTCTTGAATAAATAAGTTATAGACTACTTTATGATAAGTATATGAGATTATATCTAGGCCTGGGATATATTTAATATAATCTGGTATATAGTACATACATACATGTACCAAAGCTAGGGTCTGATGTATAAAAATATACAATTTGTGTTTATATAGATTGGGAGAAATGAAGAGTTTGAAAAAGTGAATCATTAATATGTAATATTGTACTTGCCTCGACCAACTTAAAAGATTAAATGACTGTTGGTAGTAGACACATGTCCTTTTATACATGAACAAGAGAGAGAGAGTAAGAGAAAAGAATAGAGAGAGAAATAGAAAAAAAGAGAAAAGATATTTTTCTCTCTTATATTCTTGAACCTGGCTGGTTACTTTATAATTGAAACCACCGACTAATCGAAAGTGGAAAAGAACAAAAGAATAAATCGATGGTCCCTATTTATACTTCTCTGTTGACTTAAATTACATCACACTTCCCATCCAGAACATTCTAGTACTGGATTTGTTTGTGTAATCATTTTCTTCATAAATAGAAGCCAGGAAATGATTAATATTGTTTTGTTTACTATGTCGCTGGTATATCGGACGATATTGAAACGTTCGTCTCAAATCGAAGAACGTTTTTTCAGCAGATAATTTCGAGTTAATATCGAAATGTATTAGTAGTAATGTAATCGGCAG